CCTTCGGTTCATTCATTTGTGCCAAAACGACCTTCAGTCCATTCATTTGTGCCAAAACGACCTTCGGTCCATTCATTTGTGCCAAAACGACCTTCGGCCCATTCATTTGTGCCAAAATGACCTTCGGCCCATTTATTTGGATTAATGAACTTTACAAAACTTACACAGAAGTAAGCAATTGGATAATAATACATTTCAGATATTACTCACAGTGATCGGCTTGTAGATTTGCCCTGGAGCTTGACCCTACACATCACATAACATATATGGGTCACAAATAACTCAATACGTTCTTTAATTCCCACATTCCTTTTAGACTTCATTCTTATCTCTTTAATTCAATTACAATGCTCAAAGTATGCCTAAGAGTGCTTAGAAGTGAAAGGGAACGGAAAATAGAACACAGAATGCATTTTTAGAATCTCAGAAAACAGGGTCCCCGCTCGAGCGGGCGAACCCTTAAGGCCTGCAAAAGTATTGGTTACATCAAATACCCGCTCGAGCGTGAACTCGGCCGCTCGAGCGGAAGGCCTGTCTACATAGCTCCCCGCTCGAGCGGACACTATGTCTGCAAAAAGTGCTGGGAGCACGCATTTCACGCTCAAGCGGCAGTTCCCCTGCTCGAGCGAACATCAAAATTCTAGGTTTCCCAGAATGAGTTCTTGAGCTCCAAATCGACTTTCAACCAACTTTTCTTGCATACTATGGCTCTAATCTCACATATATTTGTACTAACATGGTACTAACACTAGAATACATTAACATGAAGCTTAATCTCATGAATCAAACACATGCATGGCTCATTTTCCACCAAACTCATTACCAACATAACAATGTCATGCATTTAACCTTATATTTTGTACATACATGTGATGATTCTCAACTTAGACAATACAATTGGTGATTACATCATGAGCTTTAACCAAAACTCTACATGAATCATGTATTTCAAGCTTAAACATGCAAATTTAAGACAATTTCTTACATGCATGCACAATTTAGCCTTCAATTCAACAAAACCAATTCAATTTCATCATACTCAATTAAATTCATGTTCTTTATTCTTATTCAACTCTGAATTTACAAATAGCAAACAAAAACCCATGATTCAAGGGCTAATTACTCACCTAGGAGCCTTAAACACCCAAGTTCTAGCCAAATCTTGAGCTTAATCTTCAAATTTCCAAGCTTGAGCCAAAAATCACATAATTCTCTCCTTCTCTCTCTCTACAGCCGGTTCTCTCTATTTTGAGTCCCAAATTCAGCCAAATGAAGTGAAGAAGAGAGGATAGAGAGTGTAGTGACTTTACAACAAAACCCACTAAGGCCAATATAATATTAATAAGATAATTGGGCTCTAATTCACCAATTTAATCGATGTAATCTGGCCCGAATCAATTTTCAATTAAATTTCACCATAGGTTCTAAAAATTATGCCAATCACAATGGCGTAATCAATTTCGGGTTCTGTGGCCGATAGGACCTCCAATTTAATTTCCAAAGCAGATAAATCAAACAGATATTCCTACGGTGAACAGATAGAAATTCAAAACCACATAATGGCACATAAAATCATATTAAACACATAATCATACTCATATTAAGGACCAATTAACATATTACGGAACATGGGTATTACATCTTGATTACATTTGGGTATTCGATTGAACACCTCATAATATCTTTTTGCATAGGCCCTAAGGCCTTCATCCTTGTTGATCTTCAGAGCCATCAATGCGTCCACCTTTAATGGCTGCAGCTTGTTTGTCACAAACCTGGCTACAAACATCTCGGCCAGGCCTTTCCAAGTCTTCACGCTTCCCTTCGGTAGTTTGTGGAACCAATCTGATGCAATCTCCCCGAAGGATGAGGGGAACACTTTGCAGAGCAACGGCTCGTTCCCACTATACAATGCCATCGAGTTCAAATATAGTCCAACGTGGAAGTTGGGGTCTGACTTTCCATCGTATATTTGAAACCTCGGCATACTGAATCTCTTCAGCGCCTCAAACCTGTCTAATTCCACCGAGAATGGTGTCCTTGGCTTATCTGGGGAGGTTACCTCGGCCTCGGCATTTTGTTGCTTCCTCTTGAGGTAATCTCTTAAGTCCTCCTTCGTCCGCCCAGGAGCTCGGCTATCTCCTACTTTTAATCTTTTTGGTGCGCTACTTTCAGCTTCGTGGTGGGTCCTTTTCGACCCTTCTCCATGAGTTGTGTTGAAGCACAGCGCCTGCCCTTAAACATGCCGATGTCCTTTGGGGTTTGCCTCATTTGTGCGATGCGTCCTCCGTGATTCTTCTCTTCTGGACTCTCTTCGTCCGACTTCCTTAGAAGGTCGGTGAGAGTATCTGTCACTTCTGTTGTGCTGAGGGGCTACGGGGACTGTTTTCTGTCCTCCCTTTTGGGCATTGGCCGCTGGGACCGGCGTGTCCTGTAGCGGGAATGGTGGCTGCATGACGTTGTTTTGTATCATAAAATTGACGACCGACTGTAGGTTTGCCAATTTGTTTGCCATCTCTTTTACCTCTTCGTCTCTTCATAGGCACCTGTCCTTCCAAACCTGGAGGTCGTCCTTGTTGTAGTACCTGCTTTGATCAGGTTTCTTTGGTACGTCGCCAGTCTGGCCGACGTCTTTCACTCCGTGATTCTGGTCATGAGTTTCTGCATTGTACTCGTCTCCTGTGATATCAAGGTCAATTGGTCTCCCACTCCCAGCAGGAACGTCGTCCCCAATATTTTCTTTCTGTGTGTTACTGGCCATCTATTCTACTTTCTTTCCCACAGACGGCGCCAAATTGTGTGGGTGATTTTCCGATCACATTGCCCGACTCAGTATTCAGCTAGAGAACACTGGCAGAATAGATGACACCTGGCTAACCTGTAACAGAAATAGAAAATTCTAGCGGTGGTTCGTCCACCCGGGGGCACTCCGACGATCAAGTCAGTATATCTCTCAAAGATAATCAATAGTGCAAATCTTACTGTACTGAATATAAATTGCGTACCTTAGACCCATGGGGGTACCTCTCTTTTATAGTTAACTCAATCCTAGTCCCAATAGAAGCCTGGCTTCTATGGACTCCCGTTCAGTACTTATTTTGGACTTCTTAAGAGATAAAGATAAACTTTCTAAGAGCTTTATCCTTATCTTGGCAAGGTCTCCTCTTTATTCTAGGATTCTTGTCCTTTATCCGCTTATCTCGGAATCTGATATCTTCGGAGATTACCTCAGCTTCACCGAGATCATCTCGGCGTCATGACCAAGACACGTGGCACCTTGGCTGACACGTCGGCGTCACATTGCCACGTGTTGGTACTCAAAAATATATCCCCACAATGATTATAATAAATTAAAATTTTGATTGAATGGGTTAGAGTCAAATTTTTTTTTTCTTCTTCCCTTTACCCCTGTGACTTTTAACTCAATATATTTTAGTTTTGTTGGGTGAAAATCATCTGTTATTTTGTACAAGAATTGAGCATGTTCTTTCCGTTCTTTTTTTTCTTTCTTTCTTTCTTTCTTCTTCTCCTCTCATTTTTTATTTTACTTTCAGAGTGAGGATTGTAAGTTATGATAAAAAAAGGGGGTAAATTACAAACACACCCCTTGAGGTTTACTTAAATTACAAATTACCCCCTGTGGTTCTATAAATTACATTATGTCCCCTAAGGTTTCTAATTTCATAACAATAGGTCATTTTATTAGTAAATCATCAAGTTAATTAACAGTTTTTAATAATGTTAATATTTTATTTCAATTAATAATTCAAATAATTTTATTATTGTATAGGTGAACAGTTAGAAATTTCACTTTTTCAATTATTTTTGTTAAATAAAAAATTTTGACAGGCAGGTATTTGTAATTTTCCAAATCACAGGGGACAATTCGTATTTTAAGCAAACCTCATGGGTGTATTTATAATTTACCCAAAAAAATTATACTTTCAGCTTTGCCAGTTATTCTGTAAGACACTATAAACAATGCTGAGATTGGCTCAATGAGGTCTAGAAAGAATTTGTAAAAGAAAAACAGTAAAGAGGTCTAGATTAACAAAAGCCAGTTTTAAGCCAATTGGTTGTTTCTTTTTTTCTTCAAATATTTGGTTTTGGAGCTAAATTAATTTAGTAGATCATCTATGTTATTAGCTAGTTATCTTGGAGTAATGAGTGATGGCATAAACTTACTTTATGCTTGAAGTAGTTTAAACATGCTTTATACTTTTAATTGGATGATTATGCATAATGGTACCTCATAAGTGAAGAAGAATGTGGTTTTACTTTCAACCCCTAATGTTGGTGAAGTGCCCTCTTAAATGTTGTGGGCAAATTCTTGGTGATTGATTTGGAGTATACATGTTATCAATCACCTAGAAAGTGAAAAGTATGTAATCCCTTTTTATTTTTCTTTCTTTTTTTAGTAAGCATGTCAATTGATTGGTTTGAGGCAAATGTGGTGTTGGGTATGAGGTGAGGAAAATGTGTGAATTTCATGTAATGATTTTTTGAAATGGTTTAGATTTTAGAAACCCATCTTCATGTAATGATTTTTTAAAATGGGTTAGATTTAAATGTGTTTATGAATGGTTTTGATTCCAAAAATATTAAAATGATAAATAAACCAGCATAATTATTAAAATGGGTTTCTGAATGGGTTTCTAAAATCAATTGTCATGTATTGATTTTCGGAAACTTATCTTTATTTTATTTAATTTAGTTCCCATATGTAACTATTTTGTTTATATCATTTGGAGTATTAATTATGTGTTTCTCATTCTCTTTTTAACTGTTCGGTTTCTCTGCTTAATTATGTTTAATTCAGTTTCATTCTCTCTCTTTTATTTTTCAGTTGTGATAAGTATCTTTATAAGTATTTGGTTGTAATCTTTATTTAAAAAATTAGTACACTTAATTTTATTTAATGAACCTTGGGTTTAACATTGATTTCAAGTTTGATTATTTTTTTGTTGTCTACTAATTGTTATACATAATGCTTCAACTAGAAAATGAGTTATGCATTATCACATGGATGGAAACTCAAAGGAGCATGATCATCCAAAAATGGATACTTCACACAAGGTAAACTTTAATTTTGTTTGGTTTTACAGCCTTCAAAAATTCTTCTTCCTTATAACAAGACTCTCTTAGTCTTCATAAAGAAAATTATTCGCTCCCTTACAAAATTTGAGTTTAATTCTATTTGGAGGTTTGTATGATTTATCGGAATTCTCAATTGATCTATCTATACTATAATTTGCTTTTCTATTCATTTGTTTACTATAGTAATGCATATATATGTCTATTCTCACTTCGCCACTGAATGACATAATTCAATTGACTATAATAGTTATGTTCAATTCTTCTTAATTCATAGTTATTGATTTTCCTATTTCTCATATGTATTTAGATGCAATTTTTCATGTTATAGTTTCTTTTGATGCAATTATTCTTCATTACAATTTCTTTCGATTTCTCATATGCATTTTGATGTGATTTTTCACAGCTATTGGTTTTTTGAAGCGAATTTAAGCGAATGATTTTGTTGCAGGTCATTGATCCATATTAGAAACATTGGGTTACGTTGCTTCTACTGGTGTGTTGTTGGTTGGCTCCCTCATGTTAAATTATTTATTTGTTTATTTTTGGGTTAGCTAGGGTGATTCTTCTGTGTCAAAATGTTCACTGGCCTTTATTTGAAGGAATTTAAACCTGATAAAGCGAAAGAGTTACCAGTTATAATACTAATTTAATAACATTCTTTTATTGAAAGTTATCCCATTCTAACTTGCTATAGTGTATAGATGTGTCATTTTGACGTGGATAAAAATCTAAAATTTGTTATTTGGATTTTAAGTTTAGCAAATATTTCTAGATTCTTTGCATATGCTACATTCAAATATATAATTCATTTTTTGGACTTTCATTTTGAAATTTGCTATTTGAAATTTATAAATGCTTTCGCTAATTCAATATGTAGAAGCAATTTCAATTTCTTATATGTGAAGTTTTAAGTCGGAGTGACATTACCATTTTGAATTGATTTATCATCATTGAGTTTCGTAGCACGTGATACCAAAAAGATTGTTGGCAGTGCCTTCAGGCACGGGTCATCCCTAGTAAATTTTTATTGCACAACTTTATGTATCAACTACTTACACTTTTATTATTTTGAAATTATTGTCTACATATCAGTTTTTTTAAACTCTACCTTTAAAATTTGGGTTATTTATGGGAATATTCAGGCCTCATTTGAAAAGATTGAATTTTAACCAAAAAATTAATCCAACTTTTTACTTTTTGGAAAATAAGTGAGAGCATTAATTAGTGCCATCACTAATGATGTGGCAGTGGATCCCACCTACTGTCACAGTGTGTGTTGTGTCCTTTTTTTTTTTTTTTGGTCCTTTTCCACCTCATCAGTGGTGGGTTAGAGATACCAAATTAGTAGTATGTAGCATTGCTGTTACTTTTTTATACGCATTTCATAAAAAATTAAAAAACCAATTTAAAAAGTTAATTTTCAAATGAATTTTTACTAACAAGTTTCATTTAGAGTTGGTTTGGATATGTGTTATTTTTTGATTTTTTTTATTATTTATTAAGAAAAAATATATAAGAAAGTAAAGAGTTGATATGATTCAAATAAGCTAATAAATCAATGAACTACTTCTTTTGTGTTGCCAAAACAAGAATTTAGATCTCCTTTAAAGTTTTAACCCAATAAGTATTATTAGTTTTAACCCAATTGATGATGTTACTTTTTTAGGCAAGAGTTGTGCATTCTTTTTTATTTTTTATTTTTTTTGGTAAATAGAAGATTGCATAAAGACTAAAAGGAGTTCAACAATAGTCTGGGATATGAAATCCATCTTGCATCACCAGACACTTGATTTGCAATACATAAAGGCATAGATAAATAAACTACGAAGCCAACATCCAGCTTACTTCCTTCATTTGCTAGGAGATCTGTACAAGTATTCCCCTCTCTGAATGTATGTTTAATTGCCATCACTTTGAGCTGCTCCATGAGGCACCTGCAAGCACAAATGAGATTGCTAAGATGATGAAGCTCAGATGTATTTCCAATGATGAGTTGCTACATTGCTTGGGCGTCAATTTCCACATCAAGTTTGTTTATGTTTAGATCTTTTACAAGTTGTAATCCATTATGCAGCCCCCATAATTCAGCCGCTATGCTAGTTGCAATGCCAATGTTACGACTGAACCCTCTGATCCATTGTTCAAGCCAATTTCTAATGATTCCACCTGTTGTTGCTGGTCCTGGGTTGCCCTTGGCTGCTCCATCGGAGTTGAGCTTGAATCTGAGATGGTCTGGTGGTTTCCAACTCACGTATGAGAAGGTTTTATGGGTGGAAGGTTTGGGCAAGTTGTTTATGAATTGCCATTCAATGGCAAAGGCCATAGAAAAATTGTGGTTTAGAATAAGAGGTGGGTTTGTATCGAAAATGCAGGAGTTCCTATCCTTTCAGATAGCCCTGCAAAGGATTGGGAATAGAGTGCTCCAGAAGGCTCCTAAGTGATGAAAGATTGAACTGGTGCAGTTAATTTTGAGCCAATTAGGAAGGTCACTACTGAAAGAGTAAGTGAGATCGAGAGGAATGCCTAGTGCTGACCACAGATTTAATGAAAAAAAACAGTTTCTACGAACATGAACAGTGTTCTCATTTTTGAGGCCACACCTGGGGCATTTGGTATCATTAAGAATGTGGCAAGTATAAAAAAGGCTTTGGTACTAAGCTTATCTTGCAAGGCAAGCCAGATGAAATGTTCGATGCAAGGGGTGGTGCAGGTTTTCCAAACCCAAGACCAGTCATCCAGGGAGGAGAGATTGCAGGTTGAAGGGAAAAAGTGTGGGCCAAAGTGCTGCTAAAAAGGCCATCGGTTACAAGACTGCAAGAGATGACATCCTCTTGATCTTTATGCCATTGGAGCACTACAAGAAAATACACTTTTGGCGACTAAAAAATTCGTCGCCAAAAGTACATATTTTAGTCGCCGAAAGTATTTCCCGACTAAATAATTTGGTCGTTGGATTTGTCGGCCATACATAGTCGCCGAAGGCATTAGCGACTAAAATTCATTTAGTCGCCATAAGCAGCAAAAATACCGACTAACATGTTAGTAGCCAAAAAAACAGGTATTGGCGACGAAAACAGTCTTAGTCGCGGATAGAAGACATTGCCGACTAAAACGTTAGTCGCCCAAACCTTTCATTAAATAATTTAACTCCACCATTAGCTACTAATATTTTTGTCGCTAAAAAATACAATATCTACGGCGGCAATATTCTTAGTCGCTAATAGTGCAACTTCAGCTACTAATGTTTAGTCGCCCATGATTTTTTATGTTTTGGCGACTAACATTTAGTCGCCAAAAATTTCTTGGGGTTTTAGCTACTAAAATAAGTTGTCGCCATAGCTGTTTTGGAGTTGTTTTGGCTACCAAAAATTTTGTCGCGAAAAGTCTTTTCAGCTTTAGCCACTACACATTTAGTCGCCATAACTATTTTCCAGTTTTTTTGGCTACTAAATTATTAGTCACCATAACTATTTTTATTCGTTTTGGCTACTAAAAATTTAGTCGCCAAAAGATTTTTCTTTTTAACTACAAATTGATTTCTCACCAAAAGCATCATTTTATATTTTTGTTTTGTTTGTTTAATTTTACTAAATTTTGTCCAAACCTGTATGTATCCATCGCAACCTGTATGTATCACCTACATGGTTCACTAAGAACCATAAAACAAAAATGAACACCTGCTATATATATTCCAATTACAAATAATAACATCATACATTCCAAATACGTTACCAAAATTATGTCCTCTATACACAACATTTTTACTATACTATGCATTGTAATGACCATTTGACAAGGTACAAATTACTATGGTAATATGTACCACGACAAAAGGTAATACAAGCTCCAAAAATATTATGTACCCCACCATAAATTATATGTACGATGCATCCAAATTCCACGGTTCATTAATTAATACAAGCTCCAAAAATACTTTGTACCCTGTCAAAAATTATATGTTCGATGCATCCACAGTCCATAGCAAAAAGTATAGGACGACAAAAAACTTCCCAACTTTCCCAGCTTGTGTATCTTCCGAGAAAAAATTAGAAGATCCACATGTCAATGCCAAAAGCCATCTACACAACAAAAATTACACCCATTAGTTCCATTGTAAACAAAAAGTTATAGCCATCTACAAAACACAAATTGCAAGGATGTCAATTGTAATTGAAATTGTATGTAAATATAATTTGAATTTAGGTATTTCAATATAGTTTCTGTACACGTAAACTTTTATTTAAAGTGCAAACAAATTTGTAAGTCAACCCCAACTCAAGTTTACTCTAATGTGTAAACATACATATATTTTATTCATAACTGTACGTATATAGAGATTGTTATAGAACATATATATATTGCTAAGCTTTAATATATTTGTATAAGCTTTAGGCATTTTTCACGCCAACTCCCAACGTACACGTGCTAATTACGTCCCGTCCGTCCCCACAAGTCCTATTTGACACGAGGAAGCTACCCGTGCCATCCCCGTAGTGCTTTGGGGGCTGCTCTCAAATTTCGGCCCTCGAAGCCCTTTTTTCGACTCAGTTTATGGCGTTTTTCACGCTAACTCCCAACGTACACGTGCTAATTACGTCCCGTCTGTCCTCACAAGTCCTATTTGACATGAGGAAGCTACCCGATATTTGGTCGATGAATGTGGTATTTTTGGCGACTAAAATTGGTTTGGTCGCCAATTTTAGTCGCCAAACATGCATTTTGTTGTAGTGCCCCACCATAGCCCCTACCACCACTAGTATAATTACCAGTGGCCATGTTTGACAATTAGGTAGAACAACTAAAAATTTGAAAAGGTAATTTATTCTCTTTATTTTTTTTCATTTTCATTTTTTTTTTGTAAAAAAAATTAATTCACAAACGAATCCTAGTTTTAAGGATGCAATCAAAAATCAAATTTTTTTTTAATATATTTTTACTGATTTTCATAGAAATTATTTTTTATTAAAAAATAATTGTTGTTAAAACAAATGAAAAGTTAATTTTGTTATCCAATTCAGATCCAACGCTTTAAGATGTGTATATGACTCTTTCTCTCTCTCTCTCTCTCTCTCTCTCTCTCTCTTTCTAGCAACATGACTTATTTTTATAACAAGAAATTAAGAGACAGAAGAAAAATAATGGAGAAGGAGGCTGAAATCTGGTGCTAAAAGAAGCAGAGTTGTTAACCAAGGCATGAAGGGTTGTTCACTATATTTGTGGATGAAATACCAAATTCCATGGATCCAAAAAGTTTGTTTACTATGTTTAGCAAGTTCAGAGTAGTTAAGGATGCTTTTCTCTTTTTATCCCAGTAAAAAGAGAAAAGAAACATGATCAAGGTTTGGATTTGTAAGGTACAATTGTAAGATTGCAACAGAAATGGCGGTGCAGAGGCTGATGGACTATGGTGTGACATCAAAGCATTGAAAGTAAAGAAAGTAGAGTACAAAAAAGGCGAGCAGAAGAAACCTACATTGACAAGTGT